CAGCTCAGCATTTTTTCCAAGTTCCCCTCTAAATACCACCATGGCGGGGAGATAGTTCCCAGAGAATGAGTTGAAGTTTCTTTAGCTCAGTTCCATGACAGTTAAGCAGCTACTAAGTGAGCAAAAACTGTCACCTTGGTGCTGATGGTTCAAAGGTGAAAAGACATCATATGTTGCTGGATATTTTTATATATAGTTTAAGCTAAAAGTAAAGTAATGCAAAAATAAATGCCTCTAACAGATGGTTTTCACAAACAAGGTATGCCAAAGTACGTATCCAAAAGAAGTATGGAGGTGTTGCCTGGGCTCTGTTGCCTGGGCCACCTGCTGATTGTTTTTTTCTGAAGCTTATTTATGAGAAACCTCACAGTGTAAGTTTCTTTTTCTTTTTCTTTTTTTTTTTTGTGGGACCCTTGCCAGTGGCTGGGGAATAAACCGGCGCTGCAGAGGCTGCGGGCAGCCTCGCAGCCCAGTGCTCAAATGCTGCGCCACCAGGGGAGGCCCAGTTTCTATACCACAGGTATATTATAAGTGATATTCAGCCAGGAGATTTCTTAGGAATATCTTTAGGAACAATATTGTTATAAGAAGAAATAATATTTTCTTTCTGAGTGGCCCCAGCTTTAGAAATAGGTGTACTCTATGGCGAGCAACAGATCATGTTTGCATATTATTTGGTTTGTTAGTATGACATTAGGATAAAAATTCTGGACTCTTTATTTCGGCTTTGACCTCTTTCAGTGAGAAAAAGAATGCTTTGTAGTTAACCTGATCACCGTAGTGATTGTGTACAATTAAGGAACTTCATGATAAAAGAAATGTTAGAAACTTGCATAAGCCAAAAAAAAAAAAAAATCAGAATAAGAAAGCAGGATTTTGTTGTGAAAAGGATAAGGTTTAGGGAAACATGAAGAGAACAGATTTTGTGTGTGTGTGTGTGTGTGTGTGTGTGTGTGTGTGTCACACAGACAGACAGACAGACAGACAGACAGACAGAGATAAAGATTTACTGTTGTTCCTTGGACTGACTTCCTTCCCCAGAACTACTTTCCATTAGAAATTCAGAGAATCTTATTTTCTGATAGATTTCTTTGAGGACAGTGAAGGAAGGCATGGGGTTGAGTCCCTCAGGGCCTTGTTTTTGGATGCCTCTGTAATAATCTCTGGCAGTGAGCAGGAAATAGAAACGTACTTTTATGAAGGAGTGACAGGTTTTACATATTCTTCTCAACACCTAACTTTTGAGAAAATTAGGATAATTTTTAAATCCCAGAACCATTACAGTAGAAGATTTACTTACAGGGTTTTTCTTGTCTTGAATTTTATTTGCTTTTGTAGTTGTTCAGTGGCAGGTATGATATTTTTAGTTGTAGCTCTCTAGAAGATGGCAGTTGGTCCTCTTTGCTTTTAAATTTTCCTCCTTCTTCCCTGGCTGCTCCTTCATCCTTTCCCACAGGTGTGAGTGTCCTTGTGCTCAGTCCGTAGTCATCTTCTCTATCTGTTCTTAGACCTTGGTAATCTTATTTGGTTCCTGGATAGAACTAACATCCATTGGCAAAAATGCTTATTTTCAGTTAGTCCTTGCTCCCAGAATCCAAACTTTGGACACACAATCAGGTATCCAACATACTGAACCTCACATATCTAAAATTTAACATGTGGCTTCTACCCTCTCCCAGTACTTGTTTTTTTTTTTTTTTTTTAAGATTTATTTATTTATTTGTTTGTTTATTTATTTATACAAGTACTGGGTACAGTCAGAAGTGCGGGAGGGTGAGAGAATTCACCAGAGCCAGAGCGCGGAGCAGAGCAGGCAGAAGGACCGAAGTACACTGCTGAGGGGAGCAGCTGGCAGCAGGAGAGGTCTGCACACCATGTGGGACCCTCCTCCGGTGGCCGGGGAGCAGCCAGGGATCGAGCCGGCGCTGCAGAGGCTGCAGGCATCTTCGCAACCCAGCGCTCAACCACTGCGCCACCGGGGAGGCCCCTCTCCCAGTACTTGTTGCTGAGCATTATCTTCATCTCTTAAGACGACAGCTCTGTTGCCCAGGCTAAAAGCTCTGTAGAAATCATTGGCACCTCTCTTTCATACCTGCATCGGTACAGTTTTAATTAGTACTAAAACCAGTCCACTAGAAATCCTTCAAGTAGATTTCTTCATGCCACCTCCACTGTCCACCTTGGTCTAAGCCACCATCATTTCTTGCTTAGATGTTATACAGCAGCCGCTTGGCAGGCTGTCCTTTCTCTTTGCCCTTCTGTTCTCAGTGTGGCACACCAATGTGCACTGATGCACTTAAAACAAAAATTAGATTACGTCATCCTTCTCAGACTCTACAGTGTCTACCCATGTTCCTCAGATTGGACAGTCAACATCTAGCACTGAGGGCCTTTCCTCTGCCAATTGCAGCCCGGAATCCCCTCGCACTCTTTAGACTGTTGGTCCACTTCTCATCTCCTTCAAGTCAGATCTCACCTTTTCAGCTGGCTTGTCCTGAGCCCCCTATTTTGCAGGGCAGCCTGTGTCTTTTTCTTCTTGATACTACAGATCTTCCATGCTCTGCTCTGCCTTTCTTATCTGTTGATATATCCTTATTACTTTCTCATATAGTAAAGAAATACATGTTTTATGGTAGCCCTTATCCACGTGGACCCTATAGATTTTAATTGAGGAAGATAAAATAAAAATTTAAAATCTAGTTCCTTGGTGACACTAGCCACCTTTCAAATTCTTCAGAGGCATAGTGGTTGGAGGTTGCTGTATTAACTAGCTCACATGAGCACATTTCCATTATTTCAGAAATTTTTATTGAACCACTGTGTTAGAGAATTTACTGATTTATCTTTGTTTATTCTGTTTCTCATATGCTAGAGTATAAACTTCACAAAGGCAGAAGTTTTTCCCTATTTATTGATAGAAAACTTGCTTAGAATAGTGCTTGCCACATAGTAAGTGATCTATAAATATATGTTGAATTATTTTATCTAAAATAGTTGAATTTCTATTCTAATTCACTAAATAAATAATTTTATTACAGTAAAATATTTTTAACATTATTTGAATGCTTATGTGATGACTGACATTCATGTGACTTACTTAATTGAATTCTTATAATAGTTGTGTGTGTGTTGAAATTCCCATTGTATAGATGGGTACAGAGATGGTGGGTGGCTTGACCAAGAAACAAAGTGACTTAATGGTAGAGCTAGCCTGGTGGTTATGACCCAACCAGTGCTCAGTTATACTGCTTTCTGAGCTTTAGGTTAATTTTGTGACTCAGATTAAGTATGCCCTTCTTTTCTTCTGCTCATGGGGGGATTAAAGTTAATGATATTTTTTACAAAAAGGAAATTTTATGCTTAGTGCTGAGTTGTCTTGGCAACACAGAGTGAGTTAAGGATCAAATTTTATTTAAAACCTTGATTCACTTGAGTTAAGATCTTAGATTTCAATAACCTAAAAAATTATTCTTGCCAAAATACTGACATGAAATACTTTCTGAGAATTGAAGTTAGATAGTTATAAAAGAAGATATTACCTGCCACTTTTAGTTAGATTATACTTATTTTAGCCTGTATTATGTTGATTTGATCTCTTGGGTATTTGTTTGCACTTGCATATTTCCAAGGAGGGTGTGGAGGGGAGAGGAGAGGGGAGAGAGAGGTCACTTCCTAGAAATAAAGGTGAAACTTAACTCTATGTTCTTCAGGCTTGTTGTGTTAGGGTGACAGTGATTGGGATATAATCATTTTAAGAAGCCAGGATAAAGATGATGATAATTACAAACCTCAACTGATGTTTCTTGTGTGCCAGGCACTCTGCTAAGGCCTTTACATACATTATCTCATTTAATCCTAACAAAAATTCTTTCAGGTAGGTAATGTTTACAGTTAAGAAAACTATGTCTCAAAGGGGACTAGTAAGAGACTGAGAGGGAATATGAATGTGCTTTCCCTCAGTGCCAGTCTTCTCAAGGGGTTTGTATCCTTCACAGAGAATATATTCTTCAAAAAGAACCTGTAGATAATTGATAGAAATATATGAAGTAAAGGAGATTTTTTTTTTTGCCTTTTTACCCTCTTTGCAAAGTTTTCAAATTCTCTGTTAAGGTGAGACTTTAGAATTACTTGAGGAACTTTTAAGGCTTCTCTAAACATAATCTTTGATGGTGGAATAGTTTTTGGTGAGCAGTAGTTTTGAAACTGTTCAGGTAATTCCAATATGAAGCCAAAGGTAAGAACTGTAAGTTTCCTCTTTTTCTCTCTTATATTCTTTTGGATCATCTGCATTTTTTTTAACTCAGAATATTTAAAGAAGGAATGAAGGAGGAAATGATTGGTCTAGAAGAGGCTTTTCCTTAAGTAAATATACTGAGTTCATTTTCTTGGCCAACATGAAATGCAGAACTAAGCAAATTATGGAACATATGTTCTGCACTCCAAACAATTAGCTAACAAGTTAGTTTTGCCTGCTTGTATCGATACAGTTTAATTAGTACTAAAACCAAGGATGAAATTGCTGACTAGTTTTTCTAACTTAACAATTTTAGTTTTTCTTTCTTCCTGACTCTTGCTTTGTAATTTGATTGGTGTAAGAAATGAATTTGCCCTTCATAATCAAAGAACCATTAAGAAAAATTTAAGGGCATCCCTGGTGGCGCATGGGATTAGGCACTGCACTATGGGGTGGTCTGCAGCCTCTGCAGCGCGAGTTCAATCCCCGACCGGCCAGGGAGCTGTCCACATGGTGCAGCGGACCTCTCCTGGCTCACCCGCTGCTCCCCTCAGCAGTGTACTTTGGTCAGTCTGTCAATCACCACTCTGTCTCTGGTGAATCCTCTCACCCCCTGCATCTCTGGCCTGTATCCCAGCTCTTGTGTGCATAAACAAATAAATCTTTTTTTAAAAAAAAGAAAAATTTAAAATTTTAATTAAAAAACATAAAAGTGATATCCTCTCTGTGTGTGTTACTAAGCTTGTTCCCTCTCACTACTCTCCAGGAGTACCAGGTGTCAAAGAAGAACGCTTTGAAGAGGGCATGACAGTGAAGCACTGTGCACTGTCCCTAGTGGGAGAACCCATAATGTACCCAGAAATCAACAGGTTTTTGAAGCTGCTCCATGAGCATAAAATCTCCAGTTTTTTGGTCACAAATGCACAGTTTCCTATGGAAATCAAGTGAGTGGTCCAGCTTATTAAGAAATGTTGCTTAAATCTGTGTTTGACTGAAAAGTACAACTAAAAGGATGCAAAAATCATTTATTGATTACTAAATACATGCACATTGGTCTTTGGAGAGCAGAGATGGTCCTGCTCTTGAAAATTCATTCTGTTAGAGAAGATAACATTAGTGGAAAGAATAGAGGTACAAATAAACTGCTGGGGGAATTCAGAAGTGAATGTAACTCTTTCAAGATGGAAGAAGGAGGGTTAAACTTCTCAGAGAAGCCATCATTTTAGTTAGATCTTATGTTATGACTGGGATTGGTACTTGGGGACATAGCAAATTAGATTTTTATTAAGAACCATTGGAAAAAGATAGTGTTATGGTATTTGTGATACCATTATGTAAAAAAGTATGTGAAAGGGACTGGCAGCTGGAAACCAAGTTGGCCTGTAAAGTAGTGGAATAAAAGTGTTAGATGGCCCCTGCTTTTAAGTTGATACGTGCATGACTTGAGAGCTCTTTGTGCTAAAGGCTGTCACCCCTACTCTCTGGTCCAAGAGAAAATGGAAAGACAAATACTTAGTGTATTTGTTTTATTGCTGTGAATTAGGAGAAATCTAAGTAATAGTTATCTCTGATGTCTTAGTAACTTTCAGGAAAATAAGGCACACTGGTCATGAATTTTGGAAGTTGTTAGACACTTAGTGCTAGTAATAGGTGGTGGTAATTGGGTAATAAAAGCTATTGAGGAAAAAGCCCACTTAGTTCCACCAAAAGTTAAGTGTTTTTTCAGTGGTATTTTTGATAGGTAGATAGCTGATGGGCTGTAGCATGCATCAGATTATATTTTGCTGTAGTCACTTCCTTCAAAACCGAGTTACACAAGCATTAATTTAGCTCATAATTCTAAATTCTAAATACGTGAGTTGGCTGGGAGGTCTTTTAAACCTGGCAGACTTTGCTAGTCTCAATGTTGCTTATGTGTCTAGTCTGTTGGCGGATCCATGGAGCTGGCTGGTTTCTGATGGCCTTGGCTAGGACAACAGGGGCCTCTATTCATATAGACTCTTATCTTCCAGCAAGTTAGTCTGGACATCACTGGTGGCAGGGTTTCAAAGAGCAGCCAGAGCACAGGCATCTTTCAAGCTTCTGGTTGTATCACATTTGCTCACTTCTCATTGGCCACAGCAAGCCAAATGGCTGAGCTTAGAGTCAGTGAGAAGCATTCAGAACTTGAAGGCAAAGGGATGTGGAAGCAGGGAAAGAAGGGATTTATAGCCATATTTGCAGTTTACTAAATAGCACAACAGACTGTACTTGTCCAGGAGGATAGCCTTGAACCACTGGGAACTTTGTTGAAGAAAAATATGTAATTATATGGGATGACCTGGAGAGTCTTAAGACCAGAAGTCTCAAACTGGCCGTTTATAAGAAGTAGGTTTTATTTATAATGAATCATGTTTAAAAACCATTTGTGAGCCAGCATTTAAAATCCAGAGATTTTTACATAAAATCTGGACTTCTGACTTTTGAAAAAAAGACAGTCTGGTAAAAACTGTCAAGAGATAAATATGAAGTTCTGGTTTCAACGTCAGAGCACTTCAGAGTGTCTGTTGTTTACTAACAACACTTCTGATACCAGATATGTGGGTTTTCTCTGGTTCTCTGCAGACATCAGTGGGGTGTCCTACAATTCAATTCACTTCTGAATTGAACTCACTGAATTCTGAATTCACTACCTACCTGAGTTAGTGCAGACCATGCAGGGCAAGAGCTGAGTCCTACAGACTGCCCCTCCACTTCAAACCCCAGTCAATTCCAAGTTGCCACCTGTACCCTCTAACCAACAGACTGTTGACTGGGGCTTCCCATGCTTCCCTCCTTAAGTTTAATAGGTTGCTAAAACAGTTCACAGAAATCAGAAGACAATGTATTTAATCACTACTAGTTTATTATAAAGGCTACAACTCAGGAACAGCAGATGGAAGGGATGCACAGAACTGGTATAGGGAGGCGGCGTACAATTTCCATACTTTCTTGCTTCGCACCACTCTTCCAGCACCTTGATGTGTTCACCAACGCAGACACTCTGTGAACCCCATCATTGAGGGGTTTTTATGGAAGCTTCATCTATAGGAGAATTGATTAAATCATTGGCCATTGGTAATTACTGAATCTGGAGCCCCTATCTCCTCCCTGAAGGTGGGGGTTGGCTGAAAGTTCTGACAGCCAGCCTCTATCCTGAAGCAGTCCATTAAGAGCTACCTCACTGGTGTACATTCTATTGTGATTGAAAAGGAGTTTTTTTTATAAATAACAAAGGATACTTCCCTCACCTCTCATTCAGGAAGTTGCTCAGGTTTTTGAGCTCTGTGACAGGAGCTAGGGACAAAGACCAAATATATTATTTCTTATTGTATCGCAGTATTACACCAAGGAATAGATTTCTTTTCCATGGAACCTGTGCTTTAAAATATTCCACACTCTACCATTTCATTGTCTCCTCAACCCTGAACCTGAACATCTACCACTTGGCAGAAGAATTGCTCTGTTGATTCTCTTATAGAAGAGATTTTTCTGTCACTATTGCTAACAAACATGAAACTGATAGACTGAGAGTAGAAAATAGTCAGGAAAAATGGAAGTATATCACGTTGAGTAAGGCAGGAATATTCTTGTGTGTTTCATAATTGTGGGGTGCAAAGAACTTCCTTTTTCTTTAAAAGTTACTGTCTTGAGTCTTTTTTTTTTGTTTTTGGTGGGACCCTCGAACTGGCACTGCAGAGGCTGCAGGCAGCCTCACAGCCCAGCGCTCAACTTCTGCGCCACCAGGGGAGGCCCTTGAGTCACATTTTATCCTAGGCTCCTGCAGACCTGTGAGTTAGGATCCTTATTCTAGATACTGGACAGCTGTTCAGCCCTACAATCAGAAAGATTGTCATTGTTCTGATAGAGCTCTGAATGTTATTGTTTCTTACAAATTTTCCTGTGCAGTGTGCCAAAGATCTACAGTAAGACACCTTAAGAGCAGCCCTCTGAGAGCCATGTCAGGGCAAGGGGACAAGGCAATATTCCACATCGCTGAGCAGCTTCTCCTTTCTGAGAATCCTTACAGAGCTCTCTTGTTCTTGCCTTGTTGGCATTTGAATCCTGTAACTGTGCCTACTTCTGTGTGTGAGTTTGTTAGAGAGTTTAGAGTCACATAGATAATCCATGGTAGCCTTACTCTTTGCTTCATCTCTAGTCTACCTTTATTTTCATTTTATTGTAAGCTTCTTATCTATTAGTATGATTTTTAAGTTTATATTTAAAGGCTTACCTTTTTTCTTTTTTGGTAAGTACTGATAATTCAAAGTTTTTTGTCTAGCAGGCTTACCATAAGAAGGCAGAGCTGTCTATGTTCCATATTTAACTACAACTTTTGACTTTGTAGACCTCCTCCCACCACCAGATTTGCCCCTTTGTACATTTACTTTTGTGCACCTTCTTCATGGAAACCACATGTGAGCTTCATTTGCTTTCAGTTACTCTTTCACCTGTATTTCTGCTTTGTTTGCTCTGTGTTTGCTTTATTCTTGCTAAGACAAGAACAAATTGGATAGCTCTTCATAGAATTAGATGCTTAGTAAATGAAGAAATGCATGACTTTTAATAAAAATAAAATTGTTACAGAAAACAGATAAAATAAAATTAAGATTGATTATAAATACTGTCTCACCCTTTGAATAGAAGGTTTTTCCCTCTTTGTTTTGTTTTGTGGGAAATGTGCTCAGCTTAAAATGTAGTCTTGGGCCTCCCTGGTGGCGCAGCGGTTGAGCGCTGGGTCGCGAAACTGCCCGCAGCCTCTGCAGCACCGGTTCGATCCCCGGCTGCTCCCTGGCCACCGGAGGAGGGTCCCACATGGCGCGCAGACCTCTCCTGCCGCCCGCTGCTCCCCTCAGCAGTGTACTTCGGTCCTTCTGCCTGCTCTGCTCCCCGCTCTGGCTCTGGTGAATTCACTCACCCTCCCACGCTTCTGACTGTACCCAGTGCTTGTATAAATAAATAAATAAATCTTTAAAAAAAAGTAAAATGTAATCTTTCTATGAATTGATACAACACTTTAGGAAGCAGGCATGTCTAAGTGGGCTAAAAAAAGAGACTATAAGGTGATGTGGTGAACAGTTCAGGGAGACTCTGGTCTAGAAGAAATCTAGGTTTGAATCTTGACTGGATCTCCTGCTGTCTTTCTGACATGGGAAAGATAACTTCTTAGTGCCTAGAGTTCTCACCTGTAAAATGATTAATAATAATGACTGTCTTATAGTGGCTTTGTAAGTATATGAGCTAATACATGAAAAATAGAAATTTTACCTTTGGAAAGCTGGCTGAATAATATTGGTCAAAGACTACTTTAAGGTAAGAAGCATTACTTGTGATAAAATAGAGGTCAGTAATGTGGAGACATGAGATCTCTGAGGTTCAGAAAATGTCTCCCAGGTCCTTTTGCTGCTTTTAAATCCCTTAAGAATGAGCTCTATAATTCCTAGGGATTTCTCTCTCCTACATTTTCCCACTGCTCCCTGGCAAGAGAGCTATACAATTCCTTAATTATAGTACCTAGGACAGTTAATATTGATTAAATTGGTACTGTCAGTGTCCTGGTTTTCCTATTTTGCAAATGATGAATGTTTGTAAAATAACTGTGACCCCTGGAATTTATGGTTCATAGGGTTAAGCAGTTATGGAGACATAGTGAAAAGGTGAGACCAGTTCCCATTTTGCATCAAGTAGATGTATGTGTAAGTCCTGTAAATATCAGATCATGATCACAAGAGGTAGCCATTAAGACAGTTTTCTATTTTTCTATTTTATAAAATATAAAGTTCACTTAAGGTGGCATAGCTTGTTTGTTACTCAAGAGGCTCTCAGAAGAGGGGCGATGAGATAGATTGCTGCCTTTGCAATATGCTGTTATCTAATAGTTTTAGTACTTGATGGCCTTTACTCAGTAGTGACACATTACTGAACTTTTAAGGATTCCCTTTGTGTATCACTATTGGAGAGGGATTAAAGCAATGATAGTCTGTCAGTATTTTAATCAGTTCTTTCCTAGCTTTGGTCAGAGCTTCTCCTCTTATTAACTTTGGATTTAGACCCTGCTGTTTTTTCCATATATCACTAATCCAGATCATTACAAGCATTTGTTTGGCCTACTTGCCCTTAAAAGTTCTCTCAGCTGAAGTCAATAATATCAACCAAACAGTAGCTTTAAATAGCTACCTGTGTGGCTGGATAAGAAGAAAAACATAGTCTTCATAGTCTTAATTCAGAGATTGATAGAACTGATATTGATAGATATAAAAAGACACATAAACCTTTTTGAATGGTGAATTTTATGGCATGTGGTTATAACTTTTTTTTAAGATTTATTTATTTATTTATTTATACAAGCACTGGGTACAGTCAGAAGCGTGGGAGGGTGAGAGAATTCACCAGAGCCAGAGCGGGGATCAGAACAGGCAGACGGACAAAATACACTGCTGAGGGGAGCAGCGGGCGCTGCAGGAGAGGTCTGCCCGCCATGTGGGACCCTCGCCGGCGGCCGGGGATCAAACCGGCGCTGCAGAGGCTGCAGGCAGCTTCGCAGCCCAGCCCTCAACCACTGCACCACCAGGGGAGGCTCCGGTTATAACTTTTTTAAAAAGACATACACTTTCAATGAAAAATGCATAAATAACTGTAGGATAAGGGAAAATGTCAGGCTTTTCTGCCCTCCCTCCATCAGGATAGATGATGGATCCTTGCGGTCCTGAATGCATGCCTGATGGTGGGCACCTGGAATAGGGTGTGGGCATAGGTAGATGGGATTCACCTGGGCTGAGACTGTGCTTTTTAAGGGCGGCGTCACAGGGATGCCAGTAGAAGCCGAGAAGAGCAGAAGAAGCCCAGAGAGAAGCAGAGAAGGCCAGAGAGCCCAGATAGAGTGAAGACTTGCTGGGGGCTGGGAGGACTGCCAGCCTCCCTGCCCCCCAGCACCCCTGCCTGCCGTGTACTGGGTAAACCCCAATAAAAGACCTGCAGAAAAACCACTGAGGACTCTGATTTCTCCTTTACCCGGTCTGCATGGGATCCCAGAAAACCTGCACGGTGTCCATTCCTGCCCTACAATAACATTTTAGGTGTAAATATAAATTGTCAAATAGTTATAATTAATAGTGGGGGAAGTTAGAGGAAAATAAAAGGGGGTATTCCTTCTAATTCTAAATTCATTGAGATCATAAATTATGAAATCCATTTGGAGGGAAAACAAAAACTTTGGGAAAAGTAAAATCTGGACTTAAAACACAACTAATAAGAAATCTAGTTGGTAAGAACGATTTCACAAAATGAGTCAATGGATTTGAGAGAAGCGGAGACTGAAGGGATTCCTGAGCACTGATTAAAAAGACCCTTGCCTTCGTCAGCAGCACATGTAAGGATCTGCAGCATGCATTTTCTCCTGGGTTGTCCTTCTTTTTATGTGTTTGATTCCTGCTGTGCTAATTCTGCATTGTTGTCATTGTTTTCTCACCTAAGACTTCACTTTAAAGCCACTGCTACTCTTAGCAACATTGGTTTGGTATTGTACCCTTCAAAGAATGCTTGAGCTTTTGGGGTTGTCACTGTTCCTTAGAAGACTTCTGTCAGTTGATGGAGAACTGACGGTGGGAGGTGGCCCATCAGCACCAGTTCCACATGGTTCACTTGTGTCGGTCTTGAGAGGGGGACTTATGGAGACTTTGTGGGGAAACTTTGGTCTGAAATCCCCCTCTAATTGTGCTGGGTTAATGGTGCCAGACCTTAAAACTAGATCTTGGTTTGTTTTTGACTAAAACCTAGTGTTTTCAGATATACCAATTTAAGTAATTGAATATTTTTAGTTTATTAGGAATAGTGTCCAGTTACTTGAAAAATAACCAGCTGTTACTCCATTCTGTCACATTTATTAGAGTCATCACTTCTGTCCTTCTGGGAGAACTGGGAGTTTCTAAACCCAATGAAATGTCTAATCATCACATTTATTATAGATTGTTAAGTTTTACATCATGGCATTTTGACATAGGTATAATGTTCTTCTTATTTTGTTGTGTTGTTGTTTTGTTTACTTACTAAGGAACCTCAAACCAGTTACCCAGCTATATGTCAGTGTGGATGCTAGCACCAAAGATAGCCTGAAGAAAATTGACCGCCCACTTTTCAAGGATTTCTGGCAAAGATTTCTCGACAGTTTAAAAGCCCTCGCAGCAAAGGTAATATTTATGACATTTCTAAAAGGAAAAGAAAGTACAGTAGTCCCCCCTTAGCTGTGATTTCATTTCCCACAATTTGTGACCTGTGGTCAACCTCAATCTGGCAATATTATAACTTTTATGAAAGTGTATTGTGGTAATTGTTCTGTTTTATTGTTTTTTTTTTTGTTGTTGTTGTTGTTCGTAACCTTTTAATGTGCTTAATTTATAAATTAAACTTATTGGTATCTTATTGGTATGGACATACAAGAAAAAACAGTATATACAGGGTTCAGTACCATTCATGGTTTTAGACTTCAACTGAGGTCTTGGAATTCATGGCTTCAGACAGGTACTGGGAGTCTTGGAATGTAGTTCCTGTGGCTAAGGGAGAACTATAGGGAGAGGGTTTTCCCCCCTTTACTTTTTAAAATTAAAAAATAAAAAGACAAAACCTTCAACTCTCTCTAGACTTCCACTTTCATTAATCAACCAATATTTACTGGTTTCCTCTTAAGTGTGTAGTGCTCTGCCTTAGATATGTATTTGCCTTTCATGTATTTAGGAAGAGAATTACAGATTCCCAAAGTTAATTGCTAAAGCATGCTTACATAGCATCCTAGAGGAGTTGTCAATAAATAGTATGTGTTTCAATATGAAGTTAATTTCCAGAACCAAATTTCCTATCATTAAGAAACTCAACCTCAGGATACCCAAATTTAATGTCTTCTTCTATATACACTCGCCCCTTTTTAAAGGTTCTTCTGTGGCACTTTTGCTTGCCTTTTAGACCTAAGACAACCTGGTTCTATGCCATTAATCCCATGTCTCAATAGTTGGTATTTTCTATTAGTGTTCCCTCTTTTCTTGGTGGTTCTTTGCCCATTTCTGTTCTCTTTGCTTTTGCCTTACAGTTCTTCACACGTGGGTACCCCTATATGACTGATAATGAGAATCGCTACAGAACTTAAAAAATTAGGATTTCCTATTTTGAAAGTGAGTTGAGATTCTGTATTATATACACGACTGGTGACCTTTGATGTGCAGGCAATTTGGGAGTCCCTGTTCCAGGAAGCCTCCCTGTGTGTCCTTTGCTCAGCACTTTTGTGTTCCTAACCTGTGACTATTAGCCCCAGTGGATGTTTCCGGACTCATTGTGTAACAGAGTGATCCCCAGGAAAGAGGGAGGTTCCAGGGTTCACTGTATGCTATTCTTCCATGCTTTTGTTACCATTTCTGCAGTTGTGTGCGATACTTTTTCTTAGTCTTAGTCTTTGTTTACTTCCTTGGAGCCTTTCTTTCCACTTCTTTGACTTGTATAAATTCTATACAAGCTTTCAAGGGCTTGACAAGGGGCATTTGTCACCAAAACCCCAATGGACCAATTCAGAGGCCGCCCCTCCAATAGTGTTTGATAAATGTTTGTTAAAAGAATGAATGAATGGAAACTCATCAGAACTCTGTAGTGGTAAGATGTACATTTTCTTGACTGTAAAGCTGATTAAATCTCTTCCTTCCCCCTTTTTTTTTTAAAAATCAGTGCCCTTTTTTGGGGTGATTAAGAAATGCAAAGAAATGCAAAGTAGAGATTACTTTGGTTTCTGATCTATCTCATTCCTTGTAAAGCAAGCAGGCTTAGTGTTTCTTGGATTCTTAAAATCTCTTTTGTCTTTGGACTTCATCTTCAGCCATATCCTTTTCATTTGTTGCTAAGATAGGAGATTCACAGCATAAAAACCAGAATGGATTTGGATGGGAGTAAACAGCAGGAGCTGGCAATATCGGATACATCTGAGATTGTTATCTAGGCTGTGTTCTGAGTCAGTGTGGAAGATGAGAAGTAGGCATTAGCAGAATTACTTAACAGCTTCGTTTTCTTTTGGCCACAATTTTCCACAAAATGAATTCTTATTTTGATGTCATAATGTCTTTGGAATGTCCAGTTCAATTGTAATTACTCTGGGTTGACTCATTGATCACAATGCAATGACTTGAAATTCTGTAATATTTTCTAATCTATGAGCTCCTTACATATAGCTAGTATTTTCCATGTAATTTTAATTTTTGGGATTACATTTTTGCATATATATATATATACATGTTCCACTCACCTTCATCAAGCCACCTATGCCCATCCCCCAGACTCCCCCATGTTCCATTAATTTTAATTGGCGGTTTCCTTGGTCAGCTTCAAGTATCTACCCACAGATTGGACAGTTGCTTTCTAAGCATTTTGTGGCATTGTAGAGTTTGTGTTTCTCGTTCTTGTATTGCTTATGTTGTGGTTTAAGAAAGGTGATCTGTGATTGGAAACTGTTTAACTCAGACTGTTATTTCCTTTTGAGTATCTGATATCACTGCTATGTATAGTAAATACTCTGGAGAACGGTCCTTTTTACTGCTGTTTAAAACTCAAAGCATTTGTGTTGTAACTATACTTATTAACTAGGGTCAAATGTATTACTATATTCTAATATCATTTTGAGATTTTTAAGTAAAAACTTTTAAAGTGCCATTTCAGATACTGTATTTAGAGTACCCATATTATTATTTTCTGTTACTTGTTAAGGCACTAGTATACCCAAGCAAGGAAAGGCATTTGAAAAGAAAGAGTTTCTTGAACTTTATAAAAAAAAAAGATCTTTTATTTGCCCCAAGATTTTCTGCCTGTTTAGGAGCTAGTGCTTTTGTACTTTTGGCAAGGATAACATTTACATTTACATAATGTTACAGATCTTTATCTTTTGTTAAAATGTTCCTTTTCAGGTATGAGAGAAATACATTTGTACTTGAGTATGTGGGGCTAAAAAGCAGTTCCATCTAGATAACAGCAAAAATATGTGTGTCAGTTTCAGTTTCCTTCTACCACAACTATTTGTCAAACAGTCCTATTTTTTTTTTTTTAAGAGAAATTCATCTTGTACAAGAAACACTGCCCACCTTTGGCAGTAGAGTTTTATCAGCAGTGTGAATAGATGTGTTTCTGTCAGCACATTATTATGCTAAGTAGAACATCCAATAGGAAATTGAAATAATCCTTTTCCATGTTTAAGCAATAATATCAAACTCTTGAAACCTCATATTTGAAAAGAAAAACAAAAACAATTGGTAAGTCACCTTTGTCATATACTGAAACTTCTGTCTGTGCTGGTCCATCGCAAGAATATACCATGTATGTTGATTTTGAATGTGTCACAGCCATCTTCACCATAGTAAGTATAACACTGTAGCGCTGTTCTTATTGTCTGGATAATATCCCCTTGTGGCTATAATAATTCAGGTGTTTGGTGGCCTTCCCTGTTGCTCTCCTTCCCCAGTATGTAGTCAGCTTTTATGTGAGAACGGTGTCTTGCGTTTCCTTTTAGCACTTCCTTACAGCATTTACCATGATTGGCTGTGATTGCTTAATTTTTCTTCTAAACTGAAAGGTCCCCGAGAGAAGACAGTGTATGTCATGTTACAGTGTATGTCGGTTTTTGCTCACTGTGATATTCCCAGCTTTTATCACAGTGTGGTACCCAGTTACCACATGATGTTTGATGAATGAGCAAATTGGGATTTATCCTTTCCCTTCTTGGTATATTTAGTTGTTTGCCAACAGTCTGTCTTGTTTAGTAGTCGAGACTTGGGATTCTGAAACTAGGCTGCCTCGCTTTCAATGCAACTCCTAATACTTCTTGGCTGTATAATGTTGGGCAAGGCACACAGTTCTCCCATGGGTGAAATGGGGTTAGTGGCAGTGCCCTAAGAAAGGTCTAGATAGAAACAACTAAAAGTATCAAGGGATACTTGCATTTAAATTTTAAAATATAATGTCCTTGCTCACCAATTTTATGTGCATGATTAAATATTGTGGACATATAAGATTTAAGACAGAAGTTAGTCCTGCTATAGAAAGCTATTATTTTTCTCTCTCTTGTTTATTCTTCTAGCTAGGACATTAAGATGCATTTCTGTATTATACAGCCTGATGTGGTAAAGATTTTTATGGGTTAGCAGAAGTTGATAAAAATATTACTGGGAAGAATTACATAATTATATAATTTTATAATACTCTATTGCCACAATATTATTAGTATTTGAGGAAGAGCTCATCTGATCTGAGTAATCACTTAAATAAATTGCCTTTTATATTACATGGGAAGGAAATGATTTTGGATTTAATCACTATAATAATGTTAAATTCAAAATGCTACTTGATGAACTATGAAGATTGTGACACTAATCTTTGTAATTTGATGAAATATAGGTCCATTTACTATATATCATTATAACATAGTGAGGTCAGTGTTCAAAACTTAAAATTATGATTACTGTTGAAATTAATATATTCCAGTGATTGGGAAAAAAATGCAAGTTTTCCCAAAGATTTTTTTTTTTAAGATTTATTTATTTATTTATACAAGCACTGGGTACAGTCAGAAGCGCGGGAGGGTGAGAGAACCCAATAGAGCCAGAGCGGGGAGCAGAGCAGGCAGAAGGACCGAAGTACACTGCTCAGGGGAGCAGTGGGCGGCAGGAGAGGTCTGCGTGCTATGTGGGACCCTCCTCCGGTGGCCTGGGAGCAGCCGGGGATCGAACCGACGCTGCAGAGACTGCGGGCAGCTTCGCAACCAAGCGCTCAACCACTGCGCCACCGGGGAGGCCCCCAAAGATTTTTTTTGAATGAGAATTTGGTTGGTTTAAGTGAACTCCTTTCTCCACTACTTTCTAGAAAGAAACGTGCTAGAGCTAAGACTTATTTTAAGCAAATCCTCAGAATTCTTCCTCTCTTCCTACTTTCTTAAAATACATCCCATATTTATTGTTGCTCTCTTCTAAAACCAAGACTTGGGGCCTCCCTGGTGGCACAGGGTGTTAAGATGCAACCTATGAAGCTGTCCGTAACCACTGCAGCATGAGTTCGATCCCCAGCCAGGGAGCAACCCACATGGTGCAGCAGACCTCTCCTGTCTCGCCTGCTGCTCCCCTTAGCAGTATATTTCAGTCAGTCTGCCTGTTCTGTTCCCTGCTCTGTCTCT